TCTCTCTTTGTTCTTGTTCTTGTTTTATTTGTTTGATTTTCTTGACATGAGAATCTTAGTATTATTTGTTATTTCCTATGTTATAGATGTGTGACCTGAATTTTTGGTAAGAAAATCTAGTATTCGAGCTAAATATATATTTTTATCTCTAACGTTTGGATTCTTTTCAACCCAACATCTTTTAAAAGTTTCAATTCAATCCCTAATGTATTAAAGTTTTTTGATTAAGTCTTCACGATTACTAAATATCAAAATAATGATGATATATGGATTAAAAACAGTAATTTTTTATGAGGTTGATGTTTAGTAGTATACAATCAAGTAAGTTAATACATTTAAGTCGTATAAAATAAATAAGTTTTTTAAATTTGATTTTATAAGCTAGTTTTACGTCTCTGTCATTAAATGAAACTGTAGTTACTCTTAACTAAGTTTCTTTTGATATTACATAAAATTGTTCATTGATTTTAAAGTTTTTGTAATAATAAAGATTTATCGAAAAAGATTATTTACTTCAAATATTGTAATACTTGTACTTAAAAAATGTTTTATCTTTTGGAAATTGAAGTTTTGATCTACGAACTTCGACACTTAATTTGATCTTAATTTTTAAATTTTTCAATGCTGTAAAAATTATTTTAGGCAAATATATATACGCTTTTATAAATTATTTAATAGAAATTTGATGTTTGAAGTCACACGTGGTGTTTTGGAAGTAAAACATAATTTTTATCCCTACATTTTTGTTATTTATTTTGCTTTGTTTATAAAATTTTCAAAGTTTATATTTTAAGCTTTAAATTTTGCTAAAAAATTATTTATTATTGCCAAGACGAGCATAACTTAGCAGTGATTGACATATACCTCTCGAAAGATTGGGCATAAAGGAGATCCTCTCATTCGAAGGATTCAAATTTATAGTCATCAGAAGATTCAAAAGCATTCACAAACATTCCAAATTATTCATAAGCAACGAGACGAAGATTTGATCAAGTTGCAAGTTGGAGAACTTCATTTACTACAAGCCAAAGACTTCATCAAACTACATAACCGAAGAACTTCATCAAGCGACAAGTCAAAGACTCCATCGACCTGCATAGTCAAAGAACTTTATCAAATGTGCAACGTGAAGAACTTCATCAAACTAGTTTTGTTCATTCCTCTAATAAGTAAATTTATATCCTTACAAATATTCAAAGTTAGCGTGGTACGTGAGATATCTTATTTTATATACATATATATTTTAAAATTTAAGAACTAAAATAGAATATTAGTATGTTTTAAAATCCATTAATCAAAATAAAACAATATGTACAAAAGTTGGATACCGCAAATGTATGAATGTTAAATTTACATTTGGTCCATATGACTGGGACATAGTGTCAATTTGAGTCTCTATAATTTCAAAGTTTCAGCTTGGTACCTATAATTTAAGACTAATTTCAACTTGATATTTTTCTTTTGAAATACTTTTCAACTTGATTTATTTGATTTGAGTTTGATTTTAATTTAGTCCGTATGACTTCAAAAGTTTCAATGGGTCACCATCCACCATATTGATAATAATAATAATAATAATAATAAAAAGAGTTTTGGCAACAAGCTAACCTTCTCTATTTGACTAATTATATTACCATTTAGGACACAGTAAAATAATAGAAAAAAGTAGGTAGGTTTCTCGAGTAGGTAAAATACTTTAGAGACGATTTGTAAAGTTTAAATATGCCATAGAAATTAAATCGAAACTTCTAAAACTACCGATAACACACTTATAATTTATGGATAATTTTAATTAACCTATACTTGAAGCAAACGAAAAAAATGAATATTAAATAAATTCACGTTTCAACGGATGGATAAAAAGGGGAAATAATAAAGAAATAAAGTTATAAAAGCTCCGACGCACCTTCAAGAAACGTGACAGCCAACTACCGCAGTCACAGCCTGAACTATTTTAATCCCATAAATTTACGGATAATTCTAATTTTATTATAATATAATATATAATATTCATATTAATTATTAACTAATTATTTTATTTACTTAAATTCAATATTCGCCGGAGCTTCTTCTTCTTCCTCCTCCTCTATAAAAGCTTCTTCCTCTGCTCCACTGAAAAATTCTTCCATTTCAACTCTCCACGGAGTTCCAACGCTTTTCTCCGGCTCTCCATCTTCCTCCTGTGAATTGAGCCGTGCGTTGAAGAGAAGCGCAATGGGATGTGCTGGATCGTCGCGGACCAACGGAGACGGTGAGGTTTCTTCACTTCTGTATTTCCTCTTTTTGATTCTTGGAGAGATTTTTGTTGTATGTTCGGCTGCTGGCTTGGATACGGGGAGTATTAGGTGATTATCAATGCAAGTTGGTTTGGTAGTTTTTAATTTGTTGCGGCTGTTTTCTCGATATTCTTTCTGCGGTTATGACGTTTCTTGATGGTGTGCTTTGGTTCGAGATTCTTGAACTTCACTTGTGGTTTAGTAGTAGTGCGTTCATTAGGATAAGAAGTTCTCGAACTCGGATGATTAAGTTAGTGTGAGGAAATTCTTTATTTGTTTTGAGAAGGACGGATTTCTGAAGGTTGCTTAAAGTTACTTCTCGCTGGTTTGTTGACATTGTTGTTGTCAGGAAAACGAACTCAGTTACATTTTCTGCTGGTGATTCAAATTCCACTAGGGATTGATTCTTTTAGAACGAAATTATCGAGGATTGCAGTTGGAATCTTGGCATATTTGTGCCTGAAAACTTCTTGCCGTATCGTATTCAAAGAATTTGATTGATTAGTTGAGGGTGTAATATTAGCATATGTATGAATAAAAATTTAAACTAACAAAAGATGGTCAGATATCTCATATTTCTGCTTTTATACTGAAATTTTGTTGATGCTATGCTGCGTTTAGAAGTTAGGACATGCTAATTTGTGGAATGTTAGTTGTCTTTCGACTCTTTTCTAGATATCTTCAGAATGTCAAAGGTAATAGCCATTGGCTTAAAATGGGAACAAAACTCTTATGGGGATACTGAAATGGAAAGGAAGCACTGCAAAAGAGAAAAGGGAAGGAAAGAGAAAATAGAAAAATTTTAGGATGAAGTTTTCTAATTCTTCAATGTTCGAAGTACTGGAGGTTATAATTTTAGTTGAACTTTACAAGGCCACCCTTTGTTACCAATGCTGCCAGGCCTGAATCTAGTGTTGTTGGTTTATACTTCATCCAAGACATTAACATATGACTGAAACTGCTTCTTTATTTAGGATCCACAAAGAGGATACGCAAGCCAAAACCTTGGAAGCATCCTCAGCCAATTACAAGGTCTCAGCTCATGCAACTGCGGGATGAATTTTGGGACACTGCACCCCACTATGGTGGCCGAAATGGTAGTCCTGTCTCTAACATATTTTTGCCAGTGTTAAAGTCTTTGTGATTTAAGGTTACCTGATCGCAGAAATTACTAAGAGTTTAATTAATTAGGAATAGGTCTGCAATATTATATCTTACCCAGGAAGCATCTCGTGATTTCTGATGTCGAAATCCACTTTTCTTTCTTGAGGAAAAATGTAAAACTAAGGATAGATGACTGATCATCCATGGAAAAGGGAGACTACGGTAGTTGCAGGGGATCAAGGGTCTGGATGAATTATCCTCTTGTAAATGACAATGATATGTTACAAACATGACACGCGTATAGGAACAATTATTGGATTTATTTCCAATATCTAGGATCCTTACATTTTTTTTTCCTATTTCCTATTAGATTAAGTTCTTCAATTTGGAGAGATAAGGTTTCCTATTTTTATGYTGATTCCAAATTGATGTTTCCAAATCAAGATCTTAATGAAAGCCATTGGGAATTGCCAGAAAATTTTGAAGTGTCCTCCCTTGTTTAAATTTATTTTCCCTCATAAGGCATTAGCAGTCTTATTTTTATGAAACTTTCTACTTTCACTGTCCCCCACAACTGACTGTTATGCCATTGTATAATGAGAGGGCACAAGTATTTAGTTTTTCTGAAAGTCGAGGCCTAAAAATCTGAATTTGGAAGGCAGGATTCTAAATCGAGAAAAACAGAGAGGATCAAAGAAAAGTAGTGAAGGAGAATATTCTAAACACAGTAGGATTTACAAGAAAAAAAGCCACTAGGATCCTTACCCTAAACTCTCCGATTTATAAGAGTAATAAAGATCAGAAACCTTGAGATTCCTTCTAAAAGACAAATCTTGAGAAACGTGTGAGTACTAAATATTCAGTCCTCTGGGAGCGGAGGTTCAAACCCCACCCTCAAATAAATAAATAAATAAAATAAAGATTTAGGCCAAACAGTCGTGATCTGAAAATTGTGTCGAAGACCATGAAAGATTCTGAGACGATTTGGAAGTGAGAAAAACTTCTAAAAATGGGAATCCAAGAATTTTGCTCACTTTAAACTCATCTCAGAATATTTCAATGAAAATTTTACTAACTGTTTTTGGTTGATTCCAGAGATTTGGGATGCACTACGGGCAGCTGCTGAAGCTGAACYATCTCTTGCGCAAGCAATTATCGACAGCGCTGGGGTCATTGTTCAAAATGCAGATTTGACGGTCTGTTACGATGAGAGAGGTCCTTATCATTTCCTCATTTAAGAAATTATTATTATCATATGCTATCTTAGTTCAATCATCAATATTATTTTATCCTCAGGCGCAAAATATGAACTGCCCAACTATGTTTTGAGTGAGCCAACCAATTTGATTCGCGACAGTTCATAAAGAGGTAACCATATCTTCATTTCTGCTCTAAATGAAACGCAACAACTTATATATATATATATATATATATCTCGGCTACTATATGTTTTAAATGTTCGGGCGTCTATTTAATTTAGTTACTAATTCCTATTTCCTGTCGTTTTAAACTTAGTTTGTTATGGTTTAACATTTTTCAATTATGTTTTTCTTGTTAGTGGATGTTAAAATTAGCTTATGATAATCTTACCTGAGATGACTTGAGAGAAAACTATAGACCAAACCAAGAAAAGAAAAAGGTCGAAGTTTCAATCTTAGATGGCCTCATTCTTCCATTAAATTTTAGCCAACTCACTAAGTATATGTTGTGCAAGTTTATCATAAACTAATTTAAAATATAAGAGATTAAAATTCAAACTCTTTTAAATAGGGATTAAATTGAAGAAAATACCCAAAGATTATGGAATAAAACGTATATTTTGCATACTCTATATATATACATATAGACACATAGGTCTGAATCCTATTTTGATCGATGAAGTTTTAGTTTTATTTCATTTTGGCTCCTAAGCTTTCAAATATCTGATTTTAGTCTCGATATTTTAAATATTTTATTTTAATCTCTCCCGTAGTTAATTTTTCACTAACTATATTTCCACATTTTCTGCCATGTTTTACAGATCTGATCGATTTAATGCATTCATTGCTCTCAATTGGGCTCTTCCCTTTACATTTCTTGTACAAAAATTCACAAAAAAAAAGGAAGGAAAAAAGATAACCCTTCTGTTAGTTGAGCAGTGTCATAAATTACTTGATTACTTGTATAAATAAAGAGTCTATATCAGAATTACTGAAAGTTTGAAGCACAAAGATTTGAAAGTCGTATAGAGAAAAAATGCAATAATATTGATAAGCAGTGCTTTCTAGACTATTAAACGGTTCTACTTTAGTCTCTCAACTTTGTAACATTTTTAGTCTTTTAAGCTTTTCGTGTAAAACTATTTCAACCATTTTCGTTGATGTGGTTTTGAATACTTGTCCAAAATTTAGAGACTAAAGTAAAAAAATTGGATTTAGAAGCAAAGAAAGGTTGACCAGTATAAGGATTTGAAAACTGTGTGGTAATTTTGAGCAGTTATGTGATGGGCAGTGTTTTTGAATTCACAAAAGTTTTCTTTTCCTTTCTTTTCTTGGAGGTATTTTGGAATGCTTTGTTTGAAAAAGCATAAAAAAGCCCTTAGAGAATGGGGAGAGAGGACCCAATTTGTGTTGAAAGTGCTTTCAAAAATGCTTTTTCTCAAGAATCATGCATGATTTTTTGTTTTCAGAAATAAAACTGTTTTGATTTTTTTGTTGCGTAGAAATTTTGAAAACAACGAAACAGTGTTTCTTGTTTCTTATTATTATTCTAGTTTTTTTTTTTCAAAACGTGAATAAAAATATTTATTTGATTGTATAGTAAATATAACCTAAAAACCTTGAATATTTAATTAATAAAAATTAGTTTTCCTATAAAACTTATACTTTTTATTTAATCTTTTAAAGAAAAAGAACCAAAAAAATTATTTTCCCAGTTCAACTTAAGCATAGTTCTAAGAGCACAAGTAACCTTCCCTACTGGTCTAATAACTGAATCCCATAAAAATTGAAAACCTATGAAACTTCATTATAAATTACCTAATTTCCGAATGGTTGATTATTAGTAACTAACCATACATTGAAAGTTTTTGGTGTATTAAAATTGAAAATTTACATATTCTCTCTCTGTGTCGGGGATGGAAACTAAATCGTCACGTGGAGGACGGTGTTTCGTTGAAGGGAATGCTCCCAAATAAAATTCCATGCAGCTCTGCCTCGGAATCTTACGAAGTGGACGACTTCGTCATTATTTCCACTATTAAGTTATCGATACGAGCAAAAGCGTTCGGGTTCGATGAGTCACTTACTGACTTAAGCATCAGAGATTTTGCCCTCTTGTGCAGGTCTTCCCTTCAGGTCGGAGCGAGGATAGAGTTCGAGCTTGACTGAAGTTTGACCAAATCCTTGCCTAAACACTCTTTTTTTTTTGTAAGTAATTTTATTTTAGGGTCAATTGAAAAATGAAAAATGAAAAATTTTATACATAACAAGTATGATCATCGTAAATTTAAAGATAACAAAATCGTGATGTAGTTTTTAATATTATTGAATGCTACTCAATAATAGATTTTCAATAATTATCAAACGGGATTGAATAATTATTGAGTGCTATATTTATACAAAAAAAATTAAAAGATCTATTATTATTGCAATGATAGAATAAAATCTTGCTGCTTATAATTTCTATTATATTAAAATGCCATAAATCAATATGTATATGTGTATATATAAGAAATTTTTAGGAACCCTATAGTCCATTTTAACTTCTAACTTCCACCTTTATCAATTTAAATCATGCAGTTGAATAAATGATGCAATTTAAATCTTAATACTTAAATAACTAGTATAATTAATACCCTCAATTAGTTAATTTCCAGATTTTTTTTAATTCTTCAGGGATGTTCTTGTAGTTCAAGACTATTTTTTCGTGTATTGATTCTTTCAATTATGTTAGATACTTTTAATTAGTTGGCTCAAACGTTTTGTTCTTGAGTTTGAGCATTTCTTTCATTTGGTTGTATGGCTGGATTTGACTCGAGTATCTTCATAATTGAGCTTAAACATTTCAACGACATTTGAGTATTTAATTAGTTTCTTTTTTTAGTACAATAAGTGAGGGTGTGGATTTGAACTTACGACCTCTTGGTCAAAAACTGATGCCTAAATTTGTTGAATTATGCTCGGGTTTGGTTTGAGTTTCATTAGTTTGACTTTTGAATGATTTTTTGGTTGATTTGTGGCAACTTTCTAGTTTAGTTTTGAGGATATACTACTTGCCATCAAAGTTTTAAATGTCGATGTTGATGGAAATGCCGATGTCTCAATTTCATGGAAATATTGATAAAATATCAATGTCGATAGATATTTCTATAAAAGCTAGAAAAATTAAAATAATCGTAAACAAATATTTAAAATTAACAAATACACATTTTCCTTTTTTTAAATTAGTTAAAAATAATTATATATATTAGTGATATTTTGTTGATATTTTTCATATTTTATCTATTTTTTTGTACTATGATGGAAGTATCGATTTACCCCTCATGTATAAAATCATGGATATGTCGATGGAAATGTCGACGTGTCGATGGATATTTAGAACTATAGACTTATTATAGTTCAATATTTAATTTGATAAAATATAATGTTTAAGGTTAAAATTGACTTGGAAGTAAATAGGGGAGGGGGTAAAGATGATATTTTATTTTTGTGTGTGGATATTTTTAAAAAATTAAATTTGCCAACATAGAGCTCCTTTCTCATCAAAACTTTTTTTTTTTTTTTTTCAAGAAAGCGTAATTGAAAATTAAATAGTGGCATTCTAAATATTTATAATATAATAGTCAAACTAAAATATCTTGATTTTTTCAGAGTGAACTATAATGGTCCAAATTTAGTAAGTTGAAAAGAACAAAATTGTTATAACTCTTCTTTGTTAGTGATGTATTATGTATTATTATTTAGATATTTGAAAATCACAGATTATTCACGGCCAACATGGTAAAGATATTTATTCGTTTCTTTGAAGTCGATGATTAAAATCCCCACATCTATTAAAAAGTATTTAATTATTGATTGTTCAAGGTTCCTCTCCCATTCTACTAAAAAGGTTTAATACGAATTCAATAAATATGTAAATGTTCATAAAGCTCGTTCAGTTTTGATTTAATTTTCTATAAAAAAAATATGTAAAATAAAAATTTAAGATTTCAACTTAGATAAGGATAAAGGATAAAGGATAAAAACTAATAGCCTATACCAATATAGTTTTGTGACTGACGTACCCGGTAATTGTTAACTAAAAAAAGTTTTAAAACTAATATTAAGTTTAAGCTTAAAATAAATTTAAAAATTCGAAAATAAACAATTCATCCTTTAAACAAGTAATGGAAAACTAATGGATAAAATAAAAATTATTTTTTTAAAATATTAGTTATTTTAGGTCTAACTTTCAATTTATTCCCCTAAAACATTTAAATCGAATTCTTGTAATTTATATTTAATTCTAATAAAATTTCTATTATTTTAAAAGTTTAAATTTAGTTCGTATAGTTTCACGAATAATCAATGTGATTATTCTATTAAATATATGAACTGTTTTCTATTTATATGGTAATATTTTTTTTTTAATTTTAGACGGATTAACTACCTCTATTAAAATTTGGATTTGAGTTAAAAATGAAGGGAAACAGATATATTTCCCTAAAAAAATAGTTCGATAAGAACCAAATTCAAGTTTTAAATCTCATTAAATTTTAAAATTGGATTTTTAAAATTTTAGGGAAGATAATAAAATCATGTGATTTAGAACAAAATAAAAATCAAACATAATAAAAAAAAAGTTATAAATGCGGAAAATTTGAGGAAGAGAGATAGAGAAGTAAAGCAAAAACGCACTCTCAAACAAATGAGTCAAAGTGTTGACCAGTCTTACCTCAGCTTTTGCACGTGCTTTTGTTCTCTTTCCTCTTCACTCGCTTACATCTGCCGCGTGACCTCACGCGCCCATTTCTCATTCAAACATTTTCTTTTCCTTTTCTCTATTTCATTTTTTTAAATAATTTAAATTTTATTTGAATTTTATACTTGTTTGCTACATTTCATATTTATTAAAGACATAATAAAAATAATATTTTATTTAGTTTTCAAATTTTAATTTAGATTTTGAAAATATTTACAAAAATAGCAAAACAAAGTAATACATTAGTGAAGATAGTATTTACCAGTTTAATTTTCAAAAATATAAAACTAAAAATGAAATAATAATTAAACGGACTTTTTAAAATTTGATCATAACTTCATCATTAACTTATTAATAGAAAATCCTTCATTTGTTCGTTCACTTAATAGAAAATACTTTGTTTTTAGTTGATTAAATACAAAATTTATAGAAACATATATAATCATAACATAAAGTTCTTTTTGCTTTTATTTATAACGGTATACTTTTCTCCATTTTAATCTTGTTTTAAATTCTATTGAATTAAAACTTAAATTTAAATAAATAGTTCAATATTTAAACATATCCTTAAAATTAAAATTAAAATAAATGAACCCAATAAAATCAAACTAACAAAATATTCATGATCAACTACATACATTCTATCTCCAAAAAAAACTAAAAACACATAAATGTCAAATTGAACTATGAAATACCCAATCAAAATTAAAAAATGTAAAAAAAAAAGGTTTAAACTCACCCAAATTGAACAAAACAAAAATCCACCACAAAAAATGCTTATAGTGAATAATATTTTTACCAAAAAAAGAAAGAAAAGAAAAGTAAACTTAATTCATCAAGGTTCAATTTGATAAAAGTATACCATTTTCTTTTTCTGCAAAGCCAAATTAAAGGTGTTTAAAGTGAGATGAATTTTACTAAAAAAAAAAAAGAAAAAAGAAAATCTCGCAGATAGTAACGCACCGCGCGTGGGGCGAGTGTGGATCGCGAGTGCCGAATGAAATATATTTATTTATATATCGATTATTTATTGTTCGTAAAAAATGAATAATAATAAAATAAAAGTGGAGAAAAGGGAGGGTGGGGTCCACAAGTGAAAAGTCGTGCTAATTGGCGAGATATGAGGTGGGGTCACGTGAAAAAGCAGACTCCGCGTCCCCATCATTGTGTGCTACTCCTGCATACACGCTTACAAAACCCCCCCTCCCCCGTATACCCGACCCGACCCGGTAATCATCGTCTCTCACGTGCGCCGAACTCCGGCACGTGTACCATCTTCCCCCGCCCTTCGACAGAGACCGTTGAGAAACGCCGCTCCCACGGCCGCCACGTGTCGAACTCCGTTTCGCTGATCTCACAGAGACAGTTATAGGGTCTTTCCACTATTATTATTATTTTAATCCCCTTTAGTATATTCAAAATTATATGCCCATGTTGCCACTACACATATATATATCCTATTCATGTTGTCTTTATAAAGGGTTGAAATACCCATTAGATTTAGTTCCGCGAGTTTACAAAGAGAAGATTTCGAATTACATTAGGTCTTTTTGTTTAATTTGCTAGATCTAGAGAGATAACATAAGTTCTTCGTCTCTATAAATGGGATTGTAAAAGACCGCAGGTGAGAAGGTTAGAAAGATTTTTATGGAATGTCGTACTCCTACACGAGATTTCTTTTGTCTGTTTCATACGTACTAATTCTATTAAAGTTATATTTTTTAATTCAACGATTGTATGGTGGAGGATTGAACTATTGACATTTGAGATGATAAAAATGTCTTGACAATTAAACCATTGTAGGTTCGATTTCTCTCTCCATCATTTGTTGTATAATATTGTAAATAAAAAGTGGTATGTACGTTTTTTTCCCCTAAACAACAGATTGAATATCTTTTATAGACTATGCTACTATATTTTATTCAATTGTTATGCCAATTGACCTAAGGTTGATGTGATACAAAGTATTTAGTTAATCATGTTTCTTTTAAAGGTCATCATGTTAGTGTCACGAGTTATTTAAGAAATCACATTTCAAAAATGGTACCGTTATAAAAGTTTAGAGAGTTAAATTATAAATTAATTTTTTTTTAGTTGTTGAAATAAAAATAAAGTCAAAAGATTTTATTAAACTACTTTGAGAACATCAATTTATTTGTTTTTCCGAATGAAAAATTAGAAGGGAAAAAAAAAAGTAAAAAAGTGAATGAAATGAAACAGTGTTTCATGAAAAGGAAGGAAGGGCAGAATGGTAAATAAAGGGGTAATATTGGTTAATTAAAAAAGCCTTTCAGCTCATTTAGCTTCTTCTTCTGTTCTTCGAACCCTTCCATTTTTCACGGAAATTGGTTCTTCTCTAATTTCCCGGGCTTTGTCAAAAAAAAAAAAAAAAAACCACTTCCACTTTCTCCAGCTGCTTCCGGCGACTTTCCTCCGCCGTTCGCGGTGTTCCGATCCGAGATCCGATCCGAAGCCTCCATCGAGCACCGATTCAGATACCTCTCGGTTCTTCTACTTCTTCGTTTTCGTTGTTTCTATCTCTCGTCTAATTTATCCAGCGCTTGTACTTTTCTTCGACTCCGATTCGTTGATTATTGCGGAGCCTCGCGGAATTTTCCGTTATCTAAACTTTGTCTTTCGTGTCCGATTTGTCCACTTCGAAGTTGCTAAAGACGTTTTACTACTGTCAGTTTTTCGTGTTCGATTCTTGTCTCCAGCTGATTCTGTTGACGTATTTCTACCGTTCTTGTAAGGTTTTGTTTGTAATTGTTATTGTGTCTTCTTCTTCTTATTGAGATAGTTGGAAGCAGTTCTTTCGAATTGCTTTCTGATCTATCTGTTGAAGCTCTGTGTGAACTTGGATTTGTTTGTTAAGAGTGTGCGTGTGTGCGCGCTCTGGGGGAGATGACGTCGGGGACGAGGCTGCCGACATGGAGGGAGCGGGAAAACAACAAGAGAAGGGAGAGAAGGAGAAGAGCTATTGCGGCGAAGATCTTTGCTGGACTCAGGATGTACGGAAACTACAAGCTTCCCAAGCATTGCGATAACAATGAGGTTCTTAAAGCTCTCTGCAACGAAGCGGGTTGGACCGTGGAACCTGATGGTACCACTTACCGTAAGGTAGCTTTCTGTTTAGTGTTTGTGATTCATTCTTTTTTTTTACTTGTAGTAGAGTTCACTTTCATTTCCATTTCCAATTCTCTAGTACTGTTGAAAATGGTGAAACCACTTTCTTTAGCTACGAATTGAAACAGTTCTTTTCTGCGAATTTGTTGGTTCTTGTTAGTTAGTTCCAAAAAGAATTCTATATTATTCTTCCGGTTCATTTGCGCGGACATACGTTCGTGGCCATGGTAGAGAATTCCAGTCCGTGAAAAAATGGAGCATCAGGGTGTTGTTGAATTCTAGTATAGGGTTAACTTACTTGTTCTAAATGGGTAGTGTCCACTTCGTTTTGAACAACCAGAGGAGCGTCGTATCCTTTTTTGACCCATTGCCCCTTTTTGTGTTCCTTTCCTTCGTCGGCGTTGGTAATCTAACTGCGGTGAGGTAGAAGTTTTGATATCTTTTTATCACTTTTACGCGTGAAGCACAAGATTCTTCATGCTTCTTTTTAGGCTCTCGGTGACTAATAGTCTGAGACCCTGGAACTACGCAGATCTCGAGGAGGTACCCTTCTCCATTTATTAAGCTCTAGCATATGGATCTGCGATTTTCAGGGTTTTGGCTGATATTTGGCCTGGTAGCTGCTCTTCCTTTCTATGGCGTGGCAGATTTGGTCAGAGGGATCTTTCTCTTTTTTGCTTTTCTTTTTCTATGGCAAGTTGGCGACACAAACAGTGCCTTTTTCAGCTCTGTCTCATGCCTTTCCTTTTGGAGTTGGAGCTGGAGCTGTACTCCTATTTCTCGTGACGGATTCCTTCTTTTATTGAATTTTGCAGTTCCATTATTTTAGGTTCAGTAAGAAGTACACGCTGACATCTATCCTGTAGAGTAGCTTAGCTTATGGGTCTTATGGACTTTTGTTATTATCACTTCCTTGTCGACCCATCTGAGTGAGAAGTAATTAAATGTTTTTTGTTTGCATGAAGTAAGAAATTGAATCTTCCAACATTTACATTTCATTTTGTTAGTATGTCTCTCAAACAATAGTCGTATGGATCATACGTGGCATATATGTTATGGCTTGACTTGCGTTTTATCCTGGACCGTTTAACATGCACTAGAGAAATGGGGAGGATTGGATCAAACATGTTATCGCATGAATTGTTTATAGCTTGATTGTATCATTTTTTCTAACCATTGTCTGAGATATCATATCAGTCTGTGGCTGCATCATCTGGTTTCTTAAAAAATTGGGGTGAACGTTCTTTCCTCTAGCTGATTGTTGCTTCATTTACGGATTGCAACTAACTTGAGTGAGATCTCCTGCGGCTTTACATGCTAGATCATCCTTCAAATTCATCGTATCATCATAATATTATGGTTTGGTTTTTTAGTACTCTAATTTTCTCTCATCTAAATGCAGGGATGCAAGCCAATTGAACGTATGGATGTGGTTGGAGGATCGGCAGCTGCGAGTCCGTATGCATCTCACCAACCTAGTCCTTGTGCTTCCTTCAATCCAAGCCCCGGCTCATCTTCTTTTCCAAGTCCAGCATCATCCTCATATGTTGCTAATCCAAATGCTGATGGCAGTTCACTAATCCCATGGCTCAAAAACCTTTCTTCTTCATCATCTTCAGCATCCTCTTCTAAACTTCCCAATATCTACATTCATGGAGGTTCCATCAGTGCTCCTGTTACTCCTCCTCTGAGTTCCCCAACTGCCAGAACACCCCGACTCAAAGCCGACTGGGAAGATCAGTCTGTCCTGCCAGGATGGAGTGCACAATACTATTCCTCCTTGCCGTCTTCTACTCCACCAAGTCCTGGGCGTCAGATTGTTCCTAATCCAGAATGGTTTGCTGGACTCAGAATTCCTCAGGGTGGACCCAATTCTCCAACATTTAGTCTTGTCTCTACAAACCCATTTGGTTTCAAGGAAGCAGCAATGACTGGTGGAGGATCTCGCATGTGGACCCCTGGTCAAAGTGGGACCTGCTCTCCTGCCATTGCAGCAGGCTCCGATCACACTGCAGATATTCCAATGTCAGAAGTGATTTCTGATGAATTCGCATTTGGAAGCAATGCAGCCGGTATAGTAAAGCCATGGGAAGGGGAACGGATCCATGAAGAATGTGGTTCAGATGAACTAGAGCTCACTCTTGGGAACTCAAGGACCAGGTCAGTTGATGCAACTCTCAAACTCCATCTGTTTTACGAATTTCTTCTTTTGCTCAGTCGCAACCTTTGTCTCTGCAGGTAATGGATGGATAGCAAATATTAAAAATAGTGATCTTTCCAATGAACTTTTACATTGCAAATCCTTGGGTTCAACTGTCACATTGGGATCAAGGTGAGCGTGACTGGTTCTGCTCCCTTCCACCACCCATTATTATTATTCTTTTCAAATTTTTATTTTCCCTCGTTAAGTTATATACACAGGTGTTAAGTGGTTCCCAAAATCCATTCCCATTTGAAACTGAATTTTTTCTGTTAGTGTCGTATATGTATGAGTTTGTTTTAAAGGTTTGGTTTTCAGTTAAAGATGAAAATGCTGAATCACCTGATGAGATAGATATTCCATAGAACAGTGGCAAAACTTTTGTGATATCGAGAGAGTGGAACTTTTTCGTTGGCTTTTGTTTCTTCTATCATTGTCATCACTATTTGCTGTGCAGTTTGAACAGTTCAACGGCTCTTCAGCCTTTAGTTTGTTCTTCAATTATGGCTGAAATTAAAACTTTTGTGCTTACCCTCTTGAACAGGTCTAAATCTTCTAAACATTACGTCCATGCATTTTAGTTCATGCCTTTAGTTTCTTTAAATATCTTTAGCAGACATGTAGTAGCAGGTTAGGCTGTCAGGTTTAGAAGGGATCAAAATTTCTTGTGATGTAAAGTTGAGAGATCAAAATAGAAAAATGTCGGAAAAATTTATTGAGGTGCTAAATGTTAAGATAAGCGATATGGACAATGAAAATAGGTGGCGGGTGGGGCCATGGGACACACAGATTGCCCCTTCCCTCAGACATGGAGAATGGAATAAGGACATTGGTATGTCCCTCTCAAACTCAATTATATTGTTTTCCCTTTGACCCACTCTGCTTTTGGCCCCCTTCAAGCCTTTTGTTTTGTGGTTTCAAATTCAGTTCTAATAGCTAATCTTGACTTCCTCTAAGTTCAATCCAAACACTATTGTTGATTATATATATCTTTCAATTATTTGATATGAGAATAGTTCAACTCTTTTGACAGGCAAGTCTTCTTTTTGTCATCACTGTTCTTGGTTGCATCATTGAAATTTTTTTTCCTTGTTTTAGCTTGCATTGACTTTGTTCTTCAACAATTGGGATTATTGGTTGGTTTTGAATATTGTTTGGATTAAGTTGCTCTTTAGGTTTCAGTTTTTTTTATTATTATTATTGTGTGTTGAATTGGATTTTAATGTCTTTTGTTTGACTCTTGGATATCGAAGCAAAACGGTTGATAGCTTATTCTAGAACATTTTTGAAAAACTATTTTGAAGAGTTGTAACTTTAAGACTATAGTGGAAGTGGAACTAATTCAGAAATTTATGGTTTTTTTTTCGAGAAAAAAGAGAGTTAATTATTGTAAAAAATCAGTCAAATAAAAATTAATTAAGAAAAAGATAGCTGAATTTATTTTTCCTATAATTTTTTTTAAGTAGCATTGGAAAGCAACTTCTGAATTATCTCCAATATTAGGATCAAAATAGAAGGGCATAGTAATAATTGTAAGGTGAAGAATTGAATTATCGTCTCGTCTATTCTATGAACAATTAATCATTTATAATTTTTTCAAGTATTAAATATATCTTGGTGGTTCAAACCATGGTAATTTTTCCTCGATATTTTTGTACTTTTTAAGGAGCTCGACTATTTTCTTACTATTTGATGAATTAACAAATACTATGAACTTGCACGGAATTGCGAAGTGCAAAAAGGCAAAACCATCCTCATCAATCAAATATACTTGAAGGGTGACCCTAATTTTCAAAAGATTATTTAATATAATTCACACAATTAAGTTATCAATTTCAATAACCATGGAATGGATGGAAATATTCTTTTTAATCACGCGTTTGACAATTACCAAATAATAATCCCTTTACGGCCGCTACATCCAACACTTCAAGGGCAAAAGGGGTAGTTAGGAAGACAAATTTATCAACACTTTTGAAACCAACCACTTCTTTGAAAAAGTAATTCAAGGATTAGAATTATAGTTCTCTTTTTTGAAAACTGGATAATATAAAATAGGTTTAACACTATTTTGACCGTACAGTTCATTTTATTCTATGTATTTTTAACTTTTGTTCATTTTAATCCTTGTACTTTTAAAATTTACATTTTGATCTCTAAACTTTAAAAAATAATCAATTTGATCCCTATTTGCAAAATTTTAATACAAATTCTATACCTGGCTGGTTTTGAAAGTACATGGATCAAAATGAACCAAAACCGAAAGTAGATGGACTAAAATAAATATTTAAACCTATAAAATAATAGTTGAATTAAACAAGTTCATGAACTAATTCAAAGAAGAGTCTAAACCCTAAAGTGATGACAATATATCTTGAATTTATGACTTCAAAGACATTAGTGAGATTCACTCCCTCATGGTATATAAAACTGTTGTCTCCAAACCTACTCTCTCTTGCAAGCATTCACATAATATATACATGTTCTACTTGAGTTCTCTTAAAAAAATTTAGATGCCAAAAACAAATTCTCTTCTATCTTTCACCGCAAGCAACAAAATTATCATCTGTCTATGCATTTCTCCAAGTACAAATTGTTCCCCCACCCCAACACTGTAGTTAAATACTCAATTAAATCACAAAACAAAATAGAAAACTCGAGATCAATTCATGAATCCAACTTTAAATCTAATTCGTAGTAGGGAGTCCATACCTGAAAAATCTGGCTAGGCTGTTTTCACAACTTGGGGAAGAGACTTGAGAAGGGACATTGATGGCCTTCTCACAGTGTGATTGAGAAGAATAACGAGGGTCAAAAGGGTCAAAGCCCCGGCTTGATGAGCGGTTCCCAGGGATACCGGGACATAAGATAGAAGCGTTGATACTCCCAAGGTGACCTGAGCAACATAATAGTTAACATGGGTAGAATGGAGTAAGGACAGAAAAAGAGAGACGAAAGTTGAGACCCGTCACAGGGCCATTGACAGATTGTGAACAACAAATTACAATCCCCTGATCCCTCAAGGAATTATATTTATATTTTCTTCAAAGTCAAGGATCTCATATCTAATGTCAGATTCTGAAGGAATGATCCGAGTTTAGGTAAATAATAGCAGAGAGTGAAGAGTTCTATCCACCCCAGATAAGTAATGAGCCTATTAATATTGGAAAAGGCTACATCAGGTGGTCATGAAAGGGAGAGAATTACCTGAAGAGCAGCCATGCCGAATGTACTTCCGATCAAAGAACGAACTGCAGGATTTATTTCGAGCTTCCTCGTCGACCACCATAAGGTACCAATTGAAACTAAGGTTGCAGTAGCAAGTATACGATGGTCAAGCTGCAAACCAGATGAAGCACATCATTAGCTTCTTGTTTTAAGATAGTAAACTTATAAATGCATTGTGTACGCAAACTTTTGATAATATAACATCAATACATATATRTTCGACTTTCGAGTAGCCCAATTGCTAAAAACCTCAGCAAATTTACATTTGTTTAAAAAATATGTTATTAGAACAAATACATATCGCCATTTCTTTCATTGATTAAAACAATGAGTAGATGGTAACGTGAAGTTAATAAACCAAGATAAAAGATAGCATGAATGGTCTGCTCAAAATAAAATAGCATGAATAGCAAAGAAAAAAAAAGTGATTGACAAAGTACCATTATTTATAGTCAAAATAATAAGGAATGCCGAAGTATAAACAAGTACTCCACGGGGAGGGAAATTATATCAAGGTGCCTGGTGGGATTTAGAAAAATTCAGAATCTCACAGGATGATTTTAGGCATATAAGAGTGTGTTTGGGAGTGATGGTAGAATGAGTGATTTTGAAAAAAGAGATTCAAGTATAACTGATTTTTCAAAATCACCGTCCAAGTAATACCCTAAAAATTAATTTTAAGTGATTTTAAGTTTTCCTAAAATAAACTTTTTAATTTGCCAAACATGATCAACGGAAAGGAAAGTGATTTTGACAATGTCAAAAGTGATTTTGGCAATGTCAAAATTACTRCCAAACACAATCCTAAATCAATCACAGAACCAATATCTGACGCATTGTAAGATTTCMCAATGCTATACACCTTCATATGATCCAATTTAGAGAAATTACCTGAACTGTAGAGGTATTCTCAAAGAAATTCCTACTCAGTGGTTTCATGTCAAAAATGTCATCAGGTATCCAAGAATCGCCCATCTTCGGAAAAGTGTTATATGCATGCCCCTGAAATCCAGCATACAAACTAGAAGCATGACATCTTTAAATTGAAAAAATGTTCAATGCGGTAGATAAGAAGAGGAATGGAAAAAAGAATTCATGACATACTGCATCATTTCCAGCAACAAATGCTCCTGAAATGGCAGTAAGGCCAACAAGTAAGCCCACAGGAAGAGCTAATCTTCTAACTTTTGCTGCACCACGAGCCCAAGCCATAGATTCAACAGGTGGTTCAGGCATCACAACAGAGAGACCAGTCCAGAAAAGACCACAATAAATCATGAATGCCGAAGTAAGATGAGCTGCCAGACGGTAGGGGCTTACTCTTGGCTGAGCATATTCAGATGCTGGCTCCTGCGGAGGATGAACGCCTTTAGGAACTCCCCACTCTATCATAATTGGGAAAGCAAAGAATCAACAGGGATAAAGTGGATCTACCTCTAAACCACTCTTAACCATCCACCAGCCAATTAAACCCTGCCCAGCACCAAGGGCAAAAAGTGTCGACAATCTCAGTCCAAGACGTACGGTTATATAACCTTTACGAAGAAAATATGAAAAGGGCAAAGCAAACATAACACCCAGTGCCCTTCCCCACATTCGATGTGCATATTCCATCCAATATATAAATTTGAAATCTTCAATACTCATGCCTTTGTTAACACTGTAAAATTTTCAAACATAAAGTAATATAAATTCCATCGAAGCTATTTCTGTTCAAAAATAAAAACTGATGCATAAAGTCTTCAATCATGTATAGCCAAGCATAAATTAGAAACAGACAATATATGATTTCCGAATTACAGATAACAGCTCCTCATAGCACTCTCTTTCTATAATCCACTGACTACCAAGAATCTAAACAAGGCTATCTACTAGCATGCTAATCAAGATTCAATACAAAATCATTATGCACGTAAGCAAACAACATGGCTATGACTATGTAGTAAAAAGACTAGTTCCAAAGCTAGAGAAATAATCAATATTGATGCACATACCGCTCATATTCAGGGGACTGCTTATACTTTTCAAACTCCTGCAGCCACTCTTCATCTGATTGAGGGGGGAGCCCCCCAGTGAATTTCCAATCAGTCATGGAAAGACCAGATCGTGTCAGTCGTGTCACACCACCAAGAACCACCATACTGAAAACCCATGCAGCAGAACCGAAAAGCCATATCCCAACCATTTTCTGAGCACGAGGCCCAGCAGTTACTAACAACCTCAGGCCCTCCTTATTCGTGTTAACAGAGGCCACAGTAGACATATTCCTAAATGATGGTACCTGATTACCCTAAAAAACAGCACATAAAATTTATCTTACCATGATTACAAGATATAAAATACACGTCTTTTGTGTACAATGTCTAAAATGTTAAAAATAATCTCTCACTGACACAATGTATCAAGTATTTTTTTGTTCTACATCCATGAGTGGATGAGCCAACTTGTGTGTGCGCCTCAACTAAACAACTCACAAGACAACCGATTGTTTATAGGATATTAAATTCTAAGTAGGTGGTTACCATGGTTGAATCCATTCCCAGTTTAGATTGTTCCTTATTGACCACTTGGGCATCAATCATGTCCATGATGATTCACAGTGTATCAAGTATTATCATCAACAAAAGCTACCTGATGCTAAGAAAAAGATCACAAACAAGAAAACCGTATTTTTTATTTTACAAATCCAAATAGCAATTGGTAAAATCCTGGTTAAAACGACCCAATACTAGTACACACTGGGTCAGTAGAAGGACACTAAATTCAACCAAAAATCGAAGAAAAACGAGTAGCAAGTCATAGGATCCTCTCAACAGAGGGTTTATTTTGATTAATTTATAGAACTCGAATCACACAAGCACACAGACGTTCCAGTAAGGAAGACAAATGTTAAGATAGACCAAATCCAAGGAAATGGAGAAATGGGAAAGCGCACCTTGGAGAGGGATCGGTAGGCGTAGAAGCCAAATAGACATTTCTTGGAAGCTTGAGAAGAGAAACATCTGGAATGTTCATGGCGGAGAACTGTGGATGGATTGGATTCGATAAGAGTATTGTAGATGCGGCCAAAAGCTTGCCTCCTCCGCAGAAATGAGGTCACCACTCTGCTCTGAAACATCTCTCTCTCTCGTGATTTCGAGGGTTTAGCAGAGGTATTGGTGCAAAAGGAATTCACCGCCGAGGCGCCGAGCAAGAGGCCGATCGACAACTAAACGACACCGTTTGAAGGCAGTGGTTTTGCTTTGCACGCACGCAATATGATTGATTTATATGCATTCTGCAATAGCTCTGCCATCTGGGATTATTTTTTAATAAAAAAATTATATTAATTATTAGRTTKTAAGTTTAAATACTATTTTTGTTGATGTAATTTTGGCTTTGACTCGTTTTGATAGTTCTAGTTTTAAGATGTTGATTTTAGTGTATGTATTTTCACTTTTGTTCAAATTAGTTCAAAAGTCTATTTGGTCTGAAATTCAAAAACTACCATAATACCATTGCAATAAATTGATAATATAATYTAAATCTATCTATATAATTGGATTAGGTGTCAAAACAAACATATCTCAGCGATAATTAACATATGTATCCAATTAAGAGGTTGTGAATTTGATCCACACACCTATACTTAAAAAATGGATTTGGTTAGGTAAAAAATCACTCAAATCCAAGTTTAGGAGTGAGGTTCAAAATCACTCAAACCTACATTTTGAAAATTAAATTAAGCACATGACCAGAATAGGAGCCAAAATCTGAGTTTGGTCTAAAATCACCCGAACCTAAGACCCCACTAAATTATGTGGGAAACTCTATAAAATAAAGTAGATTAATTGAACGCTCTCTAAAAACATGAAGATTGAAAGACTTTCAACACTTGAAAACTCGAACACTTTGATTTAAAAAACAAGCATCTCAACCTTCAACCTTCAACCTTCAAACCAAGCGAATGAAAAAATCAAAAAATAAAGAATAATTATTGAATAGACTACACAAACTATACAACATCAAAGTTCAACTCCATAAAATATAAATTTTTACGTATATTATAGAGATGATCTATAACATGTTTTTATCTTGTTGTAAAATCGRCTTTTGATAATTTGTCCCTTTGTGTCCATTTACATTACAAAAAAAATTATAAATAAAAATTTTCTCCATATTATGCTCCCTCTCAAAATTTAAAGATTATATATTAAGAGTTGACTGGAATATAACTCAACATTATTTATCTTCCACACTCTTGGTTGAATTAAAAAAACACCATTTAAGCACATGTTTAAAAATTTTGGTGTACTAATATTCCATATCATCAGATGTACCTAAAAACCAGAATAAGCAACCATAGAGGTACAATATTAAAAAACTATTTGAAGAACAGGATTAGTCAATGTTGGATTCAAATATTGTCACACCACACATGAAGAACAAAAAATAAATGTTAGAATAATCAGATTTTCCAATATAATTCAATTTGTTTACAGCTCATTTGTTCTACCAAACCTAAAGACAGCTCAACTCCAATCCAACATAGTATACAGTATGCACACAAGTTTGTTGCCAAAAAGAAGCAATTTCAGAGAGTTTTTTGCATTCATTTGTACAAAGAATCAAATGACAGAGCCTGCAAAGAATAAGAAAACATAAGTTAACTGTGTTGTTTTGATGAACTACTTAGCTGAGGGTTGATTCTCGAGGGGATCGCTCGTTGCAGAATGGTAGAGATTCTTGCCATTGCTCTGGAAGGATGCTGATGCTGAGGAATCGGTACACGGCCCGTCCATCAACATGCTTCTTTGAGCCTCAGCATCTCGTGAAACTGTCGAGCTTGAAAACTGCGATCTGCTGTCTTGCGAGAGTTTCTCAAAGGCTTTAAACCTCGGATCCTGGCCCAATGAAGTGCGCTTGATGAGTGGGGCTTGGACTGCAATCTTACCTTCAAGCATACTCACCACAGAAGACATGGTTGGTCTGAGAGTGGGAGATGGGTTGGTGCATAAGAGAGCTATGTTCAACATCCTCATTGCTTCTTCTGATGAGTAATTTGAACCAAGGTCAGGATCTACGAGTTCTAGGAGGTTTCCCTGCTCTTCTAGCACATATGCCTTCAAGTACCAAACAAATAACACTCATTATCTCAGGGAAAAATATCCAGATGCTTACTGGTAGTGGCAGGCACCCATGTCGTGCCGACTACTATTAAATTTTTAACAAGTACGAATGAAAAATGCTGAAAAATAGATGTTTTTTCTGTTTTTCAAAAAGATAACGAGCGATCAATTTTTTAACGATGGTCAACACGAATATAGCAACTATGTTATTTATATCTTGACCATCGAATATAGCAACTATGTTGTTTATATCTTATGCCCTCTCTTCATCGGAGACTAAAGATCTTTTCTAAACATATTTCTCAACCACATGAGTCAAAAATTCTAGCAGAAATATAATATTAGACGGAAATATCTATAATACCCCTAGTGCAAAGCTTTTTTGTTACCATTTACTGTAATTTCTTTTTACAAATGATATAAAGAAAGACACTAATGCATAATACTTTGACCATTGACAATACTTCTAATAAATAACTTCTCCTTTCCCTTTCTTAATAAATAACTGTACCAAGCTGAATTCTTTATTAATTACTTTTCAAAAGAAGATAGACACTTTTTTAAAAAATTCAATACAACAGTTTTAGCAAAACACTTTTCTGTATCTGATTTGACAGATATTTTACGGGAGAGAACAGGAAAGCATAAAAATAAAAGAATGTGAAAAGGAAGATATGATACCCAATCAAGAAGATAGACAAAATCTTCCTTTGGCCTGTAATTTGTGTTACTTTTTCCACTAACTATCTCCAAGGCAACTATTCCAAAGCTGTAGACATCTGCCTTATCAGTCAAGTATCCTCTCATTGCATACTCAGGTGCCATATAACCTCTGAAGATTAAAATATCCAAAGCAAAACAAAACAGTAGATATTAAAAGGGTGTTCCAAAGAGACTAGTCAGATAAATTCTTGAATGTTCAAGGATGATAACTAGGTTCACTGAAACTAGAAATTTGAGACGCTCAAGATTGTAAGCTACATAAATTTATGCTTACATGTGGATCTTTTAGCTGAATGCATACATGCTTACGAGTTACGAACATACTTGTAAGTATACACGCATGCACACAAAGAGTGAGAGAGAGAGAGAGAGAGAGAGTACATGGTTCCAGCAATTCGGGTGCTTATGTGGGTGTTCTCCTCTTCATCAAGCTTAGCCAAACCGAAGTCAGAAATCTTGGCATTAAGATCTTTATCAAGCAGCACATTCGTGGCCTTTATGTCTCTATGAACAATTTTCAACCTCGATTCTTCGTGAAGGTAAGCCAATCCCCTAGCTATCTCCAAGCATATCTTCTTCCTTGTTGGCCAGTCAAGATGTAGCCTTTGTTCCTCGCGACCTCAAGTCAAAGAAAAATAAGTTAGCAAGACGAAATCAGATGGCCAGACCAATCCACAAGTTGCACACTAGACCAAAGATACCCTCGAACAATTACCGAAAAGCGCACGGGCAAGACTATTGTTTTCCATGTATTCATATATAAGCAACAATTGATTTCCCTCAACACAGCAGCCATAAAGCTTAACAAGGTTTGGGTGTTGCAATGCAGAGATCATGCCAATCTCAGTGACAAACTCACGGCTCCCTTGCTTTGATTTTGAAGAGAGTTGCTTCACAGCAATCAAAGCCCCATCTGACAATACACCCTATCCTTGACCAAAGAATATAATCTCAAGTTCATAAGAGTTTCAGGTTGTAATATAATTTGCAACATATATTGTCCTCTTGCATACAAAAGAGCTAAAAAAGAGATGCTTTCTCCAATTACCTTGTAGACTGGTCCAAATCCACCTTCACCTATTTTACTTGTAGGATCAAAGTTATTGGTGGCAACTTTAATTTGTTTCAAAGTAAAATGGCCCGTCTGTAAATCCACACCAGAAAGTTCTGTAGCAAGGAAAAAACAAAGATTTTTTATTTTTATTTTTTAAAGAAAGGTTGATGGTGTCTATAATAGAAAGTAACATAAACTGCCCGTATATTTTAATACTAAACAACTTTACCGTTATCTGGGACGTCCTTCTTACAAATGTAGATCCAAAGCGCTACAAGAACTAGTATGACTATTGCGCATGACGAAATTATGATTCCAGCTAGTGCTCCAGCGGACAGTCCTCCCTCATCGACTTTGAAGTCTGTAACAAAAATGACCATACCAATAAGAAGGCATTGTGCAGAAATTCCACAAAAGGGAAAGACCATATAAGAGTTTTTAGAAAAAATTTACTTGGTGTAACTGTGATAGCAGAAATAAGAGGCCCATAAACTCCTCTGTCAGGCACAGCTGTGGTTCCTTTACCAGCCCAATATAGGTGAATCTCAAGAGTGCTGCCATTGACAATAACATTTTTGTCTTCCAACGTGAAGTTCTTACCAACACCCCCAGCGGCCGCCGCGATATTGAAATCCTTCTTAACTAGTTTTCCCTGTAGAATGTATGCAGCCGATGAACAACTGAAATTATTACTCCATCATCATTAACATCTAAGCTTGGGTCTGGAAACTTGGAAAATAGACTTTATATTATATCTTAATGTCATAAACTTGCAGCATACTCACTTGAATTGATATATCAAATATACGCTTTCCCAGGCTGTTAAACTTTTGATCATTAGAGTACATAATTTCAGCAAAGTGGAGCTTCACATTGTAGCTCCCGCTCCGCAAGCAAAGACCGTAATATTTGAGAGAGATAGGGGAAAGTCGGGCACTTTGATAATAGTCCGGACCACTCACATTCAGGCCAAACTTATTTGCAGCCAAGTAATCAGCATTTTCATCACCCAGAAAAACTCCTGTACTGCTATAAGCCCATCTTTCTGAAATAGAAATGAAGCTTGCCTTGCCATCTTTAGTTAAGTCCTCTTCATAATCATGCCCATCAGCCTCCAATCTGGTTCCTCCACAGTTAATAAACAAGGAATGATCTGCAGTTGTAATGAGTAAAATATAATCAAATACTTAAACTAGGATCCATGACAGAACACTTAAATGGGCTTCCTTTTTTCCAAAATTTGGTTCTCGGTATAGTTCTGAACATTGTTTTCAACTCATTATTGTAGATTGTTTTGACAGCCTGTTTGAGAACTCTCTATTCTGCGTTACAATTTACCCTCTCTAAAATTAAAAAATAATAAAATAATAAATAATAAATAATAAAAAGTAAGGTTGCAGATAGTTGTGCATAAAGATGTCTTTCATAGATGGTTACTACCAGATACAACTAAGGAACATTTGAAAATACCAAAATAACGTTTTCTTCTACATATTTTTATTTTGGAACAAGTTCCAAGAAACTTATTTTTAATTGGAAAAATCATAAAACAAGTCGTAGATTCAATTAGCTACAACAAAGTACAGCTAAGTAACATTTGCAAATACTAAAATAATGTTTTGTTCCACTTATTTGTACAGTGGAACTGAACAAGTCTCAATAAGCTTGTTTTTAGTCGTAAAATCATAAAACAGGTCTCAAGTTCAATGGCATAACAGGCCCATAATATCTAGAATCTAGATCTACTTACGTTCAGCTTTTCCTGAGCATGGAAGTTCCTTCTTGAGGCACCAAGGAACTCTGCAGGTAAGGAAAGTACATCATTCATTTCACTCGAGATTGACATGCAGTCAAGAAAGGGGAGAAAAAAACTATCTTGAAATGTCTTACTGTTGATTTGCTGCAGGTGCGTAACTGGCTATCATGTTCCTAAGGTAAAGAAAATGCAAAGCCATCAAGTAATAAGGGGACGTCAGATACTTATCAGAGTGGGCAGTATTAGTAATTACTTTTTTTCCCTTGCTTTTAATTGGAGTAGAGAAGCTTACACAGATGATTGTTGGCAACTAGCTAGATTTGACCCTGTAAAATTGTTGTAAGACAAATCTCTGCAACAACCCAACATGTTTATTAAAAAGATTAATATGTAATGCAATAACAAACTTTCCAAGAATTTCTCATATTGGATCAATTAAAAAAAAATCATGCTACTGTACACAAAACACTTCACAGCCCACTAGAATGTCAATGTACAGTTATATCGTATACTAACAGGAACTTTTTGCTATTCAAGACCCAGTCTGGAACTTCACCACTCAGTGAGTTGTTTGTCAGGAACCTACATCAATTAGGTTCTGGTTCAATAAGTTGTTGATGGAGGTGCATAAATAGTATATAATCTAATGCAACCAAAGTGGTAGTATCCAATTATCCACTTACATGAAGTCTATCTTCTTCTTCATCAGATTCTGAAATGTCTCAGGAATTGGACCAGTTAAATGGTTGAAGCTAAGATCTCTACAAAAAGGAAGGGAAAAAAAAAGGAAGAAAAAACTGCCTCAGATTTCTAAATAAGAAATAGATGCTTCGAACTAATGGAACTAATAATGGACCCAGAGAGAAGAAAACTTGAAATTTCAGGATTAAAAAGCCTTACTATTATTTTTGTGTATTTGCAAGGCATATTAGATTCATTTAGACTTCTATTCAGCGGCCTTTACATAAGAATAGGAGATAAAAATCAAACTTCAGTAAAAAAGAAATGATGAGTCTTAGCTCAGGGAGCCATTTTGTATCTTAAACTTTCAATCTGATCGATTCACTCCAAACTTGATCAAGCTGTGAAATGAATAGTTTCAATTAGTTAAGTCATATGTGTTCATCGTTTTTCAGATTTGTTGCCGAAGAAAGCTATTTTTATGGTATTGGTTCTTTTCGTCACGCTGGATGTCTTTTTAGCTAGGTTTGAGAATTTTATTATTGA